TGTTGTAGAACAGTTTATTAGGACACAGGAAATATAAACCACAGTCTAGCTGGAAGAACTAGAATTGTAACATTACTCCCACGTAACTACAGATTTATGAGTGATCAAATACTGCCAACTACTTTGTATCTCTAACACTCCATAAGGTGTGCTCTTTTTATTTATTCATCTAAAAACATGTTTTTTCTCCAATAGGACCTTCCAGATAGCATACAGGTTGGTGGGAGGATTAGTCCTCAGACGGTGTGGGACTACTTGGAGAAAATTCGGGCAACTGGAACAAAAGTAAGTTTTCTGAGATTTACTTATGATTAGACAGAAATAAATTGGCTTTAATTATTCCTGATATTGAGTAAGTCCAACTGAATACCACTCTTTAAAAGTTCTGATTTTTAACAGAGCAGGTTGATTCATGAGTTACAGATTTTACTGACACATGCTTTTTGTTTTATTAAAGGAAGTGTGCCTGATTCGCTTCTCCCCTGAGACAGAGGAAGATGAGATCTCTTATACTCTTTTGTATGCCTACTTCAGCAGTCGTAGGCGTTTTGGGGTGGTGTCCAATAATTTGAAACAAGTGAAGGACATGTACCTCATCCCTTTAGGTGCCACAGAAAAAGTTCCACATCAGCTTGTTCCCTTTGATGGGCCAGGTAATCGGAACACAATTATTTTTCTCTTATTAAATTAAAAAAAATTTTTTAAATGTTCAAACTTAATCTTTTAATTTCTCAGGTTTAGAAAACAACCGTGGAAACCTCCTCCTTGGACTTATTATTCGCCAGAGACCGAAAAGGGATTTTCTTACTGTGGATGTGAACGAATCTGCAAGGATTATTCCTGAAATAAAACCTGTGACCATTTCCACAAAAGAAACCAGGGCAAAAGAGGAGGAAGAGAAATTTTTTCTCTCTTCCTTGACTAGTGCACTTCAAAAGGAGAAGGAAAAACCACTTAACACTACTGAAGATGTCGACGAGCCTATTGCACAGTCTTTTGAAGAAACATCTGCACCAGAGGAGACCAACAATCAGGAGCCCCAGAAACCCCTTCGCTTTCTTCCAGGTGTGCTAGTAGGCTGGGGTGGAGAATTACCACCTCTGCCTGATGTTGGGTTTAAACCCTCAAGTACAGCACAGGATGCCTTGAAGACTCAGCCTGCTCCAAAACCAGAGACATCAGTTGGGAGCTCAAAAAGTCCAACAGCTGCTGCCCCACGAGAGCGCTTTGTCATCAAGAAGAAAGAAGCTAAACCTGCTAAAACTGAACCGGAGCTATCAAGTCCATCTGATACATCAGCTGCTACCAACTCGCTGGAAAAGAAAGCTGCAGTAGGGAGCCAGGGTACATCTGTCTCACTCAAAGATAAGCCTCCAGATGTATCGACTGAAGACTTCCTGGCAGGCCTGTCAGCACCTCCAAGCGGGACTGAAACTAGCAGTGCTACGTCGGCAAACAAAGGCGACACTGGCCTTTTGTCTGAAAGTGAAAAAGAAACAACTGAAGGGAATTCTTTGTTCCAGCCAAAATCCCAGTCTGCTGCAGAGCACGCAAGTAGCTCAAAGCCTCCTTTAAGTGGAATATTGAAAAAATCTTCAGCATATTCCACTGTGAATGAAGATAAAACAATGGTGGCACAAAAGGATAAAGCCAGCCTCCCACATCCTTCCAGCCCTAAACCTGTTCCTGTGTTGAGCAGCACTAGGAATGATCTAATCGTCCCATTTCACCAAGGATATTTACAGCTCTCTCAGGCCAAGCACAAAGCTGAAGAACAAAGTCAAACAGCCGTTCAGTCGTTTCCTTGTAAAAAGAATGAGCCTGGTGTAGCGCAGGCTGGTGCTATATTGACTCAGACAGTGAATCCTCCTACGGTCCAAGGAACTCAAGCAGAGTGTCAAACAGGAGCCTCTCAGTCCCAGTATAACCCAGCAATGGCACCAGCTCTCCCAGTAAACAACAGCACAAGACCGTCCCCTTTGCAGCAGCAACAGCCTCAGGAATCTGGCAGCTATGATTCTCCATCTGCCCCTACTTCTAATACTGTACCCACCCCTCACATCCAGAACCAGAACCATAGCATGCAGTGGGCTCAAGACAACACTTCACAGGCTGCTCCTGGACCTCAGTCACAGTACCCCGAGAGTTGCTCTGAACCATCTGGCCAACCCTCATCCGTGGACAAAGACTACAAGCGTTTAGAGGAGCGATACAGTGACCCGTGGGAGAGGCCGCGACACACAGAAGACAAAGACCACGGAAGGCACAGCTACCACAGGGACTCCTATCACGGTAAAAAGAGCAGGCACCACGAGCGGGAGAAAAAGCACGATCGCAGCTATGATGATAAGTACAGGGAGAGGGGCAGGCACCACGGACATTCGGATGACCGCTATGGAGAGAAAAGGAAAGAGAGGCATCACAGCGACGACTACAGCAGCCGTCACAAGGACAGGCACAGACATAGACGGGACTCTGATTACGAGAACGGACGGAGAAGTTCAAAAGACAGTTACTCATAATTTTGTTCAGAGAGCGTTTGGGGCTCTCAGGAGGATTGTTCGGTTGTTGTTGGTCACACAGCTGGTACAAACCACTTTGGTTGGTGCTGGTGGAGTTGTTTTACGCACCAGTCTGCATCTGTATGCCGTGTCTTTCACTAAAGTTACGTTTTATGTTACTCAGCGTACAAGCCAAAATAATATAATTTCAATGGAATTATGATATTCTGGATCAGTTCAGTTAAGACCAAGAAAAAAAAAAAGTCAATATTGGAACATTTTTAACTTTTAAACTTTTTATTGTAAATATGTTGTTCATATTGAGCTGCTGTACTGATTGGTTTCGGTCTCAAGGCAACATAACAACAAACAAGTGGACCATTGGATAATTTATGCTGAGTTCATTTGGCCTGAATGTAATAGAAGGTATTTAACTGAAAACAGCAGCTTGAGTTTTTTTTAACATTTCTTTTAAATTGCTTAAATATTTTATAAACCTGCTTTCTATTGAGAAAGCATGTACATGTTGGCTTGTAATATACATTAGAGATGAAGTGTGCCTTTGCACTGTGTTATTGTACAGTTCGTAATAAAGCTGATCCTTTTTTTATTGTTAATTATTTAAAGAAATTCTTTGTCTAAAAAATGTATTAAAACCAACTAGGTCAGAGGTGTTAAAAATGAGGCCTGGGGGGGAGAATCGGCCCAGCGGATGATTGGGAAAAATGAAGGAGGGCATGTGTTTTTGAGTAAAGTGTATTTTTATAACTAAGTTTTACAGCTTTTCCTATTGATAAAGACCTCCCCCATGGCCATTCTTGTTAAAGGAAAGAAGTAATAAAGAAACAAATGATAGGAATGTGCCTCTTTTTCACCAATCTATAGAAATTTTGGTAAACTAATATTTTCTGTGAATTAACAAAAACAATGAGCTACCAGAATGTTTTCCATATTTTCATGTTAACATATAGAAAAAGTGAGACGTGCTGCTGAAATTGTACTTCTTTTTATATTGAGATATCTCAGGGGTTTAATGTGTAGTTAAACATCTTTACACTGACAGAAAGGAGAGATTCACTCATCTGGTCCCTTCAAAATCAAAGTGGTCTGTATGTGGTGGAACTAGATGGTTAGCATTGCGACCTTGCAGCAAGAAGGTCCTTGGTTTGAATCCATCATCTTTACGGGGAACCCCTATGTAGTGTTTGCATGTTCTCCCATGTGAGTGGGTTCTCTCTGGGTACTTCGGCTTCCTCCCACAGTCCAAAGACATGCAGTTTGCGGGGTTAGGTGCATCGATGTTTCTTTTTGTTAGCTCTTAAGCAAAAGAAAATGGATTAACAGATGGGTAGATGGGTGTCATGTTAAGTTTTACCTTTTGTTCGGAAAGTGATGTAAATCAGAAAAGTCAGCCAAGGAATCAGAGAATTTAATTTGTCCTTTAACACTTTAAATGTATACGTTTCATCAAACTGAGTTTTAAGTGCAACTCAGAACTGGTATGTAAAGTGTTGAAGAAACAAGTAGTACAATTCAATTGCTTTAAAAAACAGGACTGTATGCAGTCCTGTGAAAAACTAAGTGCACTCCACGATTCAGTACTTGGAGGACCACCGTTAGCGGCAGTAATGTCTTGAAGTAACTTTAAATAACTACTCTGTATGACTATCAGTATCTCACATCAGTATGAAAGAATTATGGCCCACCCTTTACAGCATTCCTTCATGTCATTGAGTTTTGAGGGTATTTGTTTTTGCACAGCTCTTAAGTTTCCACCACAACATTTCAGTCAGGTTGAGGTGATTGATTCTGTTGTAGATTTGCTGCTGCACTTGGGATCATTGTCCTGTTGCATGACACAATTTTGGACAATCTTTAGTTAAATGTACAGAGGAGTTTATGAACGACTCTGATTAGATGTCCCTAATCGTCACCCCTCCACCACTGTGCTTGACAGTTGGTTGGAGTCATCTGTGTTGATATGCTGTTTGGTTTTCAGCAAATGTGCTACTGTGCATTACAGCCAAAAATCTCACCCTTGGTCTGTATAAAGAACATGAAGACGGTAAAAGTGCACTTGGATTTTCACATGACTAAATACTAGAAAACACTATATCAACTACCTTAAAAGGTACATTTCCTACTGTTGTAAAGACCAGAACTTGCAGTTTCACTTACTCGTTTCCATCAAAGATATTAAAACCTTCACTTTTTTTAAGAAACAGCCCTTGCTTGGTATCTCCAAACAAACAGACATTTCTAAGATTCCCCGCAAAGCCATTTGAAAACATTCCCAAGGTCACAACTGATATGTTTCTGTACAGTTCAAACCCTCCAAAGTAAAACTGCCCCCCGTAGTTTAAGGCTACATATCGCTCAAATGGATCTACATTTTCAGAGAGGATCTCCTGGCTGTTCAGTAACACTTGAATAACAGTGCTATTTAGAGATATAGAGACATTGTGCCATTTGTTACAGCAGAGAGTGAGATTTCTGAAAATCAATGGGAGGGAAAGTCTTTCTCCAAGATTGACCGTTATTTTAAGATAGCCCCCTTCAAGTCCAACTGCAAGGTGGTCATCATCTTCGTGTTCAGCCTTTCCCATCCACATGATCAGACTGTCATTGGAGACTGTGAGAAAGCTGAAAGAAACCTGTGTGTATTTTAAGTTTCTTGTGTTGTATTTAGAGTCCCAGTATTTAACAAAAGAGTTTCCAACAAACTTCAGAGTGCCTGTGGACATTTCCTTGTCACAGTACCTCCCGGTCCACCCTAAGGGGCAAATGCAGTGATACGAGGTGACACTAGATGCCACGCATAAGGAGCCATGTTTGCAGACGTTGTTTACACAGCTCACAGACTGGTTACACACAGAACCGGTCCATAATGGCGGACATACACAAGTGAACGAGTCACTACTTGTTGCCCTGCAGTGACCTCCATTTTGGCACACCTTGTACCCACAGGCTGTCCCATCCCAGTCACCTATGTTGGCCCCACTTAAAGCTCCCCTCTCTGTTAACTCAAACTCTCGATCATTGAGTGTTAACGCTCGCAGGCCACCAGTGAAGCTCACAGGATCCCCTTCAGTTGCATCTGTGGAGACAAAGCTCAGAGTCGACACGCCTCCGACGAAGACGTCAGTAGCAACATCAAGTGTGGCCATGCCTTCAGTCACATTTTCTCTAACTTCCTGGTTACCCAGACTGAGGAAGCCTCGGTTACCAGTTCGGCCAGCCTTAACCATGAGCCAGGTCCTGCCGCTTAAGTCCACTTGTTCAGAGGACTGTAGGATGTGGGTGCCGTCCCCAAGATTGTATCGCAGCTGGACAAACCCGGATGCCAGTGAGAGGCAGAAGAAGTCTCCTGTGGAAAAAACAATTCATGAGTAACTTGTTTGAAAAAAGTAATTTCTTCTACTTTTACCGTGGTGCAGATTAGTATTAATATTAGATGTGCACAGTACTGTCTTTTAACTAAGGGCATTATTATTGATTTTTTAAAAACTAAACATTGGACACAGATGCAGTTAGGCCCACAATTTTTTGACCAGTGACTTTTTAAAATTTTGTTTTTGTAGTATTTTTTTTCCTCTACACCACAGTGTATTCTAAATTGAAATACAAAGGTTCAGCTTTAATTCAAAGGTGCCCTCTATTTTATTTTGAAAAGTAATTGGACAAAATTATTGTTCTGTGACAAATACAAATACTGGAGTCGATTCAAGATTTTGAAATTTTTCTTTGGAACTGAACAGAAGATCCCAAGAGATGTTAATGGAAGGAGAAGGAGAAACAAACCCACCAGAGAAACAGCAAAAACTTGTGGCCAAATCAAATATCACCAATTTTGATGTATTATTACTATATTACTAAAAGAGCAAATGCACTAAAGTGAATGGTTGAGAAAAATACCTTCACAATATCGAACCAAGTCGAGAACACTCCTGAGAAAGCAGGCTTAAAATGATCAAGATCTGCAATCAAGAGACGCCTTCGCGAATCGAAATGCAGAGAATTTAGAACAAAGTGCAAACCAGTGAAAGCCAGAACTGGAAAGCCAGATAAGACTTTGCCAGAAAACATCTACAAGAGCCTGCACAGCCCCACTCCCCAAAATTCTTTGGGCAGATGAAACCAAGATTAACTTGTACCAACATGACAGGCAACAGAAAACCATGGAGAGGAAAAGGCGCACCTCATGATCCGAAGCACACCACATTATCTGTCAAACACGATGGAGGCAATTTTATGGCTGCGGGCGTCACTAGTGTTTATTAATGACGTGACTGCTGAAAGAAGTAGCGGGATGGATTCTGGAGTGCACAAGGCTACGCTCTCTGCTCAGATTCAGTCAGATGCTGGAAACTGATCTGCTTCACAAATAGATAATGAGCCAAATCACGCAGCAAAAGCAACCAAAGAGTTTCTGAAGCCATAGAAATGGAATATTCTTCACCTGATCTCAGTCCAATAAAGCATGCTTTTCAGTTACTGCAGACAGAAGTGAAGGCAGAGAGACTTCAATAACATTGTCAATGATTTAAAGTCACCTGTGGTGCTGTACAATGATAAAATTAGATGAAAAAACCTATAGACCTAACTGTATATAAAAAATAAAGGATACATTCTCTTTGTGTCTCAATATTTCAAGGCACTCTCACAGGAGAATATGTCTGTGGGTTGTAAGTGGTTGAACTAAAGACACATTTATTTTATTCTCTCCCAACTTGTCAGAGCAGCATGGATTGATTACATAAATAAACTCATTGATGAATTTAAAAATACCATTTATGTCATGATTAATAACTCCAATATTTAGATAAAAAGTTTCACTTTGACCTAAGTTGGTCTGATTTTTGTTGTCGATCATATGACACTCTCAGCAGAATACTGATATACACAGTCGACAACGAGAGGATTTGACATTATAATTTAAGAAATAGGACCAAAGCACAATTTTCTACCTGTTTAATGTCAGGCTTAAGGAAAACAAATAAGAATATGTAATAAGTATACTTAACACTGAAATTATATTCAACATATTTAAATTTAAATGCTAATTTTATTGGGCATGAACTACTACACATAGCAATTGGTATGTGTAATGTGTGCTGTGGAGGCAGGGCATAGAGGGGTAAAAGAGCAAATGGCCTAATATGTTACAGCAATCATATTAATTAACACATTGTTAATAAAAGCAAACCTTCCCTAAATATTAATTGTCCTCACCAGCTCTGGCACTGAGATGTTGCGCAATGTAGACGAGGATGCCATCAGGTGATAACGGCTGGAACTGCACTTGCAAGTCAGTCCTGTGTCTTATACTCATAGGTGGGAATGACATCCAGGAGGAGAGGTTAGCGCTGAAGAATGGATCACTGATGGTCACAGCTGAACAGAAAAAAACAATTTAGCAGTTAAAGAATTTAATAGCAAAGGCCTTATTTAAAAATATGAATAATAATAAAAATATAACAGATGCAGGTGAGGGTCACAGCTTCAGTGAGGCGACCTTTCTCACAGTAGACTCCTGCTGTTCCCAGGGGGCACTGGCAGGTATATCCATTCGGCAGAGGGATGCAAGTGGAGCCGTGGGCGCACAAAGGAGGGGGGCTGTGCTCGACATCACACACTGACACGGTCTCGGAACAGAGCGCTCCCTTCCATCCAAATGGGCACCGGCAACTGCAGACGGGCACAGTCAAACACTGTGTTAAAGCTTGTAAACACCGTCTTCTCCTTCTGCAGCATTCACACAGCGAAACCGGTTTCCTGTTTGTTACTAAAGCATAGTCACAATGCATATGGAAATATACACAAAGCACAGCGTTGTTTACTGTATTGTTCTAATTAATAACACCTACATGCGTTATTCATGAGGAGACTCATTAGAAACGATTGGAAAATGAGCCCACGTAGAGTTTAATTTGCACTTACTACACAGATGAGCCGGAATCCACGCACGTCCCGCCGTTCCTGCACTTAACGTGAACACAAGGGGTGACGCCACACTGACCCACGTTGCGGCCAAAGGCTGGATGACCCGCAGGTTGTCCCAGCGCTTGGAACTTTCGGTCTCTCCTTGTGTGAAAGTGCACATCAAAAATGCACCCTTTGAAAAGAACAAACGCATCGTGAGCGCACAAGTCAGAGGTGCATTTCATTTCATCTTCAGTTTCCTTCTCCAGTCTTTCCCTAATAGGAAATTATAAGATGAAACGCAACACGCTTTACTGTCTTTGTACGGAGATCAAAAGGTATGCATACTAAAATCTGCCCAACACAAACGAAAACACGTCTGACAATGCGTGCACGGTTTGAAATGAGTTTCTTTGATGGGTGTTTATTTCATCATGTGAAGGTTTCACACTGGGAGACATGCACTTAAACCCACAAAACTTTATTAGATGTTAATTCTCAGATTGCAGTTTGTCTAGTTCGCATCCAAGATGCCCGAGTTGGAAGGACTCGAGTCCAATGTTTTCCCACCATGAAATCACGCCATCACGCCTCCCTCTCGTCGTATTTGCTTATTGGTTTCATAATTCAGTTTTATCAAGACAATATTTGTTTTGGCCTGCACCTGCAAAGCACAAGGCCTTCTATAAATATAAGGCCTGAACACAGCCCTCGTAGTCATCTGCACATGCAGACTCCCTTCTCTCTGCTGCATTAGTCACTGGCATAAACAGGATGCAGGGGAAATGTCATGCTCATTCATGAATATTCATGGCATGATGCTGTCTGCTTGGCAGACTCGAGTGATGGTTGTGGTGCCGCAAACACAGACCATCAAAAAGCGAAGCAGATTCATAAGGAAGATTAGGCGAGATAATTATTTTTGTTTCAGCTGTGAGCGCATTGTAAAAGAACCTCGAGAGCTGAGGTCTGAAGTCGAGCGAGCCTTCCCGTGTGTGCGGCAAAGTTCTTTTTTCGGGAAACATTTGATTTACAAAACCGGAAAATGATTTTAAAATAACATTTTCTAATGTCCCTGATCTTTGCAAGTCCGAGAATAAAAGGTAATTAAGGTCAAAATCTTTTAGGAAATCTAATAAAAAACATTTCAGCATCAAAGCGGTATGAAATCAGAGTTTTCAAACATCCCCATTTCTGTATATTTGATCAACAGCTTAAAATGACTAACTGATTTATTTATTTATTTTACCCACACAGCCTCTTCTTCCTTCTTTCCACAGGGGAGTGTGGATCTTTTGATAACTGGGAGTGAAGTGCATTATCAGTGTGTTCACTGCCAGCCATCATGATTGGGGCTCGATGAAGGTCACACAGATCTGATTAGGCTCTCATGAGTTCTCATTACATCCTGAGTAGAAAGGTTATGGTTCCACCAGTGTTACCTGTCTCCGGTAGTGCTTACCATTACAGGGAACTGCGATAGCCTAATACCGCATGGGCAAACTGATGCTTTATCGCAGCTGATTTGATTTTTGAAGGCTTATTTGCCGAGTAGAAAAATGAATCAGATGATGATGAATAGGCAAACACAAAAAAAATCGCTCAAGTCCTTAAAAATAAAAAGCTTTTGTTCACCCCAAATGGATCTGCCATGACATTTTACAATAACAAGGTTCACTGCTGTAGTGCGGAGACTGCTGAATATGGTCGTGATGATATTCATAGCTGTTGTCATCATTATGGTCATGGCAATTTTGCGTCACAGCTCTGCACATTAGCAGGCAATATGAATGCTCTGCAAAAAGCATTCCTACATGAGGTCACCTGAGAGAAAGCATAAATGATGTTGATGATGACAAAGATTATTTGGATAGCACCCTTGTTCAAGTGACTTATCAGCAGAGGAATGGATTTACACACAACACACTGTATTGGGCGCAAAGCAATTACAGGGCGCAGATACAATCAACCTCAAAGCTTTGTTCCGGCCTCATACACAGTCTGAGCCTGTAACTCCCTTTTCATTACACACCTTCCCCTCTGCTTACAAAAAGACAGAGATCCTGGGAGAAACTCCAAGCCACAGTGCTCTTATTCCAGATAGCAACGCTGCGTTCTAATAAAGCCGTAGCAGTCTTACCCTGAAAGCCATGACGGAACCTGGAGCCAAGTGGCAGTAGTTCAGGGGTGTACTCATTATATCCACCTACAAAGAGCTGGTTGAAAACATTGAGGCCCACCAGAGGTCCTGGAGACAATCCTGTCCTGTTACGTTGGCCGTCAACCTGAAACACACGTAGTAGAAATGTCAATATTCAAGACGGCTCACTGTCAGTGAGGGAGCACACTTTCTATAATAATCTGCTAACTCTGCAATAAAAATCTGTGACCTGGGATTCATAACTGACTGATTCAGCGTATGTCTACTTATTAGGGAACAGCTACTATACATCCCTGAAACCGCCTCCTTTGAGGCAAGTCGCCAGGGATCTCAGCCCTCGCCGTCTCGATAGTATCTATCCTGCAGCATGCGGATTTTCCCAAAGCATTCAGATAGGTGCAAAAAAAATATATAAAAATCATTCTTACCCTGATCATTGGACTAAAATTATCTGTCGGTACAAAAAAAACCTGATGTTTTTCGAGTCTGTATGACAACATTTATCAGCCCTCACTATGACAACAAGGCAAGATAAAAACTTAAGTTTTTATGTGAATACGTGCGCAGTAAAAACAGGGCTCACTGAGTGGTTTATCACAGTTACTGTAAATCCCTTCTTCCAGTAAGTCTATTATACATTCAATCCCTCAGTTAATCTTTGCATCCACTTTTGATACTCTTTGCATTATCTATTCAGATGTTCGAGAAACCTAATGTGTACAAACGGCAGATCAGATAAGTCTGATCTACAAAATTAAAAATGAATGAAATAGAATTGACTTTAGCAGAGTCCCATTAAGCAATTTATTTTCCTAATTTCTCAATTGGAAGGACCAAATGACCAAACGAAGCAATCAGTATTTCAAAAGAAAAATATTTAGAACTTTGTGTATCTTGGTGTTGTTTTGATTCTTTAAATATCTTGTGAGCTCCTCAAACTTACCTTGGGACTAAATGATCCTAAATGATCATGTACCTCTAGGCTGGGACGCTCTATTTTATTGAAATGGTTACACGATTTAATTGAAATGTCTCTATACAGTAAGCACACTAGATATGTACAGTTACCAAAAGGGACACAGTCATCTTCAAATCACCTTCAGCCATCCTGTTTTCTTAGACCTTCCAAACGTGACGGTGTGGATGTTGATCTGATGGTTCAGTCGATCACTAACGATGGTTGCTATCCCCGATCCAAGGTTGAATCTGTGTACAAGTCTTCCGCTTTTTAATCCCAAAACAAGGAAGTCGTCCCCATCATTGCCTACAAAATATGAAGAAAGTTACCCTCCAACACAGTACACTCAGAATACACAGGCAAAATAAAGTGCTCCACTTTCATTAATACATTTACATACTTTGACTAAACACAATGGTTTTCCTAAATGGATAATTTTATCTTAATAGAGCGAGAACTGAAGAACAGCTATTCCATGACCTCCAAACAAAAGAGTCCAGCTGCTGTGGAGTCATAAAGTAGTTTTCTATTGAGGTGGGACGATGTGTAAAGGCTTTGTTGTCTGTGAAGCTCTTTCAGTACAACTTGTGAGTGATGAGCTGTTCTCTGTGTGAGACCTATAATGGATTAGCTGAATGTTTGAGTTGTATGATAAGGAGGATGTTGCAGAAAGTTAACCAATCTATCTCTGATTGATCTTCAAGTCTGATGTCTGGAAAGTAATTCTTGGAGTCAAAATGAACACAGTTTCAGTAAACATAAAAGGATGAAGTTGTGGAAGTCTTGAATATAATTTTTTTTAGTGGTCTCATTCCACTGTTTGTCCTGGCGATTAGATTTATAGGGTAAGTTAAATGTTTTTCTAAGAGGGTCTCGGTTCACGAGAGAACTGCAAATAAAAAGGTGCTCCGGGCTTTTTTACGTCTCTCAATGCAGCGAAATTCATCATTGATTTTAAACGCAAGGTTATGACAGATGGACGAGAAGACGGAGATAGTCTGAGGTCAAGTGTGTCATTTCTGCTTTCCACCAGGCAGTAAGGATGATATTTAAGGTGAGAAATTTAAAGTAGCTGTGGGTCTTAACTGATTTATCTATGAATAAAATATGTCGAATGATTTTTAAAAAGAGTATTTTCAATATAAAGTCCGGCAGAGCTGGAGTCGTTTCTCCAGTGTTGACTATAATGAACAACAGGCCCAGCGGTGCATTAATAGGGATCATTGCAAACGTTATATTTTCAGGAAAATTTAAATTTTGATGTTGGAAATGATATAAAAGACAGATGAGTTTAATCAAGCCAACCAGATCTTGTTTAATGATATTTAGCAGTAATTTTGAAAATATAAACTGGGCTTGTTAAAACTTTGAGATTTTTAATGGACTCAGCTGTGTGAAAGAAGCACGGCCAAAGCTGTTAATCAGATAGTGGACTGACAAAGGATGATACATTTGTTATTGCTTTCATCTTTCATTCTGTTTAATGGCTCAGGGAAGCAGTTCTACAAAAGAAAATACTAGTGATAATGAGCAAACCTATTTAATACAACTCCTTATGTAAAATGATCTAGATGGCCATTTGTTGGTGGCTACAGATGCAGATGGCGTATCCATAAGATATGAAAAAGGATGGCCTGGCTTTTCAAATACTCTCGTTTGACATTTTGTTAAAATTTCATATGCCAAGTCAATTAATCAACGCAGCTTAGATCGACTTCAATTTTGGTATGATCTCTCAGAGAATTTAGGGACGCAGGCAAACACATCAGCACATTTTTAATGATTGCAGTACCCCCTATTGTTCATTGACACAGTTGATTTGTTCTTCCTCAAAATGGCAGCAAGTTTTTGACAAGCGGGGAAATGTTTGGAGACGTATGCATATAAATTTACTTCTAACTGCCTGGTGACAAACAAAGTGCTCAAGCTGCAGACATGAAACCTGCTGCCAAAGGTTCTGGAAGAAGAAGTAAGAAGGGCAGGAGAAGATGATGGTCTTTGATGGCTACGCAGTTTTACTGCTTGGCCTCAAAAATATATTGCACCTTTGAATTTGTAACATTTCAAGAATGCTCTTCAGTTGTTTGTGTCTTTCATCATTCATATTACTCTTATTTTTGATGGCTCTTAAAAGAAACAAGTGCACAAGACCCATGATCTAGTGTTTCTATTTCATTATTATCATTATTTTTTTTATTATTATTTTAATGAAATATACTGAGAACAAAGGCATAGCAAGTATCTGGCTCCACAGAAAGGAGACCCTGCTGACCCCAACACAGTGCACATTTACACCTAATAGTCCATCTAATTTAATTAGCTGTTTAATTCTTTTAAGAAGCTCAGTTCACGTGTTGATTTTATCCGAGGAATGCTCACACGCTTCTTTTGAAAGTAAAAAACAATAAGCGTTTAACTGGAAATCAACAAAGTGTTGAACTCATTAATTCCTGAAAATCTCATAAGAAAGAAAAATCCTTAGAGACTTGTGGAACTCCATTAGACAGCCATTATCATACACAGCAGGTGACACTAAATTGCACTAGTGTTTCTTTCAAAATCCTCAAATCAGTTTGGAAACTAAAACCAACAAAGCAAACTTCTCAAATTCTTTTTTCACTGGAGCTCATAGATCATGTAAACTGCTATCCAAGTGTCAGGATTGTGCTCACCTTGTCCTTTACGTCCAGCAAACAGCATTAGGTTGTCTTTGACGGCAGAGGAACTGTCCGCAAGCGTAAACTTCAGCTTGAATTCGTAGAAGAAACTGAGGCTCGGGATGGAGGAATAAGCCACGAAGGAGGTGTAACCAAACTCATCACTTCCACTGAATCTGGGACGAGTGATATTGACGGCTGCAAATCAAACACATTCAGAACACGCTCCAAAGCTCACATTTGTACTGTACATGCTTATGGATTAGCTGCTGCAGGCTCTGCGGTGCATGTGTGTTCATTTTGTTCAAAGTAAGAAGTCTGATTCATCATTCACCTCAGAGCCTACCAAAAGATGGCACTATTGCCACACAATACAGAGCAGGAGTTGGTGAAACGTTTCCTCATCCGATGCTCTAGCATGATGACCTGTTTTCAAATACTACCACCTTTTCTCATCCAATTCTGTTTTCATTAGTAGCTGTTTAGGAAGGATTCTGCCAAGCGAGCTTAGCATCGTACCCTTTGTTCACAAGGGTATTGCAATAACCCCAACGATATTCAATAACAGTCTCAAGTTTACTTATTCTGAACGCATCGTTGATTCAGTAATGATCCTGCTTGTACTCCATTTCAGCATACCCATCCACTTGATTTTACACAGGGGACTCAATGTGAATTTGCCCATGCTTATTGAAAACTACATGCCGCTACGTGGTTGTTGTTGCAGTGTGGATTCAAACACAAAACTGCTCTTCTTCACTCAAACACCTTGCATATTCTTCTTCAGCCCCAGGCGATGGCTTAGAGGGCTTCAGAGCACCCCTCCGCGACTGCCCTCAGCTCTGTTTGGCTGCTAAATTATTAATAAACCCGCAAATGCTTCTGTTATCATCTCCAGTCTGCTAGAGCTGGTTGTGTTTGTCTATTGCTTCTTGTAGTGTAGTGGCCACCATGTTATAGAGCCAACACCTATTTTTAAACCGTGCTGTTCATGATGCTATTCCCCCCTATAATAACAACTAAACTCTCTTTTTCTTTCCACATCAGCACCCTTAAAATATATATGTTTTAAATGAACTGCTGTGTTTCTATGTGAAATAGTTTATCCCTGTAAATACATAATTTGACCAAAATTTATCATGAAAATGTATTCCCATACTTACTTTGACCGACTTAGCATTTGTGCCATTGCTTTTGAAAATTGTTCTTTGTGTAAGTGGTGGATATTTCATGATGCTGTATATATTAAATTAAACGGCTCCTTTTTCATTACTGAGCATCTTATCTTTCGAGACTAAAAGTTCCTTACTGTATAGATCTAATGCACCAAAGTTTCTTTTATTTTGCATATGGTGTTAATTTTGTGTCATCCAAGTGACATAAAACAGGGCTAATTTAAAGAACGCCACATATTTGATATGTTGTGAAGGTCCAGAGCCTAGATCTCAGCATTATTAAAGCAGTGTGCAATCACCTTAAATTAGATGAAACAAAAGGCATCCAACACCCAGAGAAGAGCTCTGATTGGTCTTCACGAAGCCTGGAGGATTATTCCTGAAGACTACTTAAAAAATGACAAGAAAGCTTCTCTAAGAGATCTCAGGTTGTGTTAGAAGAACAGTGGACATAACTTCCCATTTTCATAGCAAAATATAAAGAAATAAGAGCTGGTTCTTAGAGACCTTTGCACATTACTGTACATCTTATGTTTTCCTGTTGCTCATTAATTTCACTAAGCAGTTACTACTACATTAATAGTATATTGGCATACAGTTCCCATTTATAGTTTCCTTTAGCTAACTCTTGTACATACTGTTGAGTGGAACTAGTGGTCATGGAACATATTATTAACAAAGAAGCTTATGGACTGCCTTCACAAAGTGCATCCATCTGTGGATTATAACACCACATCCTGTCAAATAACATTACATAGCATTTCAACTTTGCTGTGTGTTTGTGTAATACTGTGCACAGGAGCTGCAGAGGAAAAACAGAGTGACGTGCAGCTCTGGATCGTGAAATGAATTCAGACATAAAACTGCATGTATACAGTATGCAGCTCAGCTGAAAAAAAATATTAATAAATAAATGCTGGGCAAACAACACCTTCTCAGTTTCTATAGAATGAAAGGCTTAGAAAAACTTACGCCACTGCTAAACTAAATTGCTAATCGACAATAATGTTGCACATTGTTCAAAGAGTGAAGCTCTTTAAGATTGATTATATGCAAATGCAAAAAAGACATTAAAATAACTCGTGAAGCTTAAATAAAGTTGTTGAACTCTGCTGCATGTAAAGTCTTAGAACTTCTTGAATTTATTTGGCCTTATTTGATTCATTAAGACTTGAATGGCAGGTGAAGAATTTATAATTGTCAGCTGATGACTGCTAGAGCTGATGGTAGCACTCAAAAACCATGAGCTCCTCTAAGCAAGGACTGAGATCTGAAAATGAAGCTAATTGATGCCTACAAAGGAGGGAAAGGCTATAAAAAGATATCACGGCGCTTCAAGCTTGCAATTTCTACTGTATGAAATGTCATTAAGAAGTGGCAGAGGATGGAAGATGTGGAAGTCAAGACAAGATCTGGAAGAGCAAGAAAACTTTCTGATAAAGCTGTGCAATTTGCTGTGCTGAAAGACAAAGCAGATCCATGGGATGGGTTAGCTGATGGCACGCAGTGTGGTGATAAACAGGGTATGCATGGAACAACCTTACCTGTGACACCATCCCAAAAAGTATTCAACTAAGGTTTGCTGGAAACTGTCAAAAGCTAAAGTTAAAACTAGGTTAAAACCATATAATACCAATAGTATTGTATGGTTGAAGAAAACTGAACCCAATTTGATAAGACGTCACACTTAAAAACCACTTTAGCATGATGGTGGAAATGCACTGCTTTAGGGTTGTGTGGCACCCAAATTTTAAATGGATAGAAAAACATCATTTCAAGTATTGCATGAAAGCAAAAAAAAAAGAAAAAAACAATAACTTAAAAAAATAAATAACCTGACAACAGGATAATGATCCCCCAAAAGGCTGATAATCCAAGCTGAAATAAGAAACATGGACTAAATCTGAAAGGTCCATGACCTGCACATGCCCTGAACATCTGTGGTCAGAGCTGCGTGTGCAAAAAAACCCCAGGAAGTGTCCGTGAACTAGAAGTGAACTTCCAGAAAGAGTCAAGAAGACTTAACACTAAAATTTCATGAAATCGTTTTTTCCCCCTTTTTTGGCACAGTTCAAACATAACAAAATATGTCATTTCACCAATTTGACACATAAAATTATAAAGATGAAACAGCATTTAGCTGTATAATAACCAGACAAGACTAGTGTAAGACACACACTATAACTAAGTGTGGAGTAAAATAAATAAATCTGTATCTGTAAGAACATGTGCTATACTGACAGTATCATATACTGGTACATTGTTTTCCATGTTTTATTTCCATCAATTCCAATCATGAATCTTTAACAGGAGGTATTCCAACTTGTGTACAAAGGTACAACATTAATATTTCTGAGTGAAAGCATTTTCAATACACATGAATGTTTCATGAACTTGATTCTGGAGGCATTTCAGTTTTGCTTCCTAGTCTTGCCTTTCCTCCATTTCCTGGTTGTTCAGACCACCTGATGGGAACTGAACCAAAGAACTGAAAATACGACATTAAGAAAAAAATACAAACCATATTGTTACTGTTTCATCTGTCCTAATAGACACAATAGAAGGAAGAAAAAAAAAAGACGGCCCTGCTGCCGTGCTATCACGCCTGGTATTTTGCTAAGGGCACCACGTTAGGAAACATGCTCCAAAGTAGCAAGTAGTCCTGGAAGGCAGGAGACCTTAGGAGTGATCAGTTTGTCTGTGATCTTGTCTGATGTTATCAGGATTAAAATTCAAATGTCAGCCATATACTTAGTGTGAAACTGGAAGGTTAAATTTCTGTGTTTGGCATGTGGGTGCTGAGATTCTGACAGGGGCTGTGGCATGGCTGAGCGACTTATATGCCAAGCACCCTGCTGCCACCACAGCCAGTTTAGTCAAGCAAAACCTTTTGTTTCTGAGAACCATGACCTGTGAAGCCCTCTTCTTTATGGCATTACTTTTTGGTAAACAGTCACATAAAATAATACAGAAACCATCATAGAATAGAAAGATAATTGTATAAAATAAAATAAAAACCCATCTATTTAATCATTTCTAGGTATCTCATTTTTCTAAAACTTTTGACTGAAATCAAAGCCATTTTTAAACCACGTTAGCTGTCATGGACAGTGAAAGACAAGGACGCAGTTTACTCAGTTTATAGGTTTAGTCATTCATTTTGGGATATGTTAAGTATCATTTGTAAATCCATCATGCTATATTTCAAAATTAAGGATTTAGTGGTATGTCACTGCATGCTCATTGGCTAAAGACTTGTGAATCACAACTTGGTAGCCAGTGACTACCAACTTGTTGTCAATCAAACTCTTTATTATCATAGTGTTATATAATAACAGTTGTGAATATAATTTGTAGTTTGTGTTGCACATCTGTAGTAAAGAACAACTTAGTTATTGATATGGCACAGTGCTACGCGACCTACACTAAGTAACCTTTGTGGATTTAAACACCTCCAACATAACAGCGACCGCCACCAATCAGAGACGTCGCTCTTCCAATTTAGGATTGTGGGTAGAGTTTACATCTTTAATGAATATAAAAAAGGAAGAATTGGGTGCACAAGTTTGAATTTATGTAGGATTTTCTCTAAAACATACAAGATTAAACTTAAATATATACATACAACACCACTAATATGTGGTTCAATGTTCCTCAGCAAGCTGCATCTTGACCAGAAACATTTGATAGCTTCTGGCACAAGACTGCCTGGATATTTAACCACTCTTCTTGGCAGAATTGTTCATTTAAATAGTTTGGTTTCCTGACACAGACCTGGCTTTTTAAGGGTTGTCCAGAAATTTTCAGTAGGAGTGAGGTCAAGGCTTTGGAAAAATCACTCCAGAAGTTTAATGTTAGCCTGATTTATCTATTCAAAATCTTTGTCAACTGTCTATCTGTTGATCTGAGGTGAAGTTGAAGAATTTGTGCAATGTCCCAGTACCATAGGCAGCAAAATAGTCCCGGCGCATGATGCTACCACAACCATGCTTGACAGCTGGTACAGTATTCTTAGGTTTGAATGCATCACCTTTACTTCTCCAAACAATCTTTGTCTCATCTGACCATAAAACCTTTGTCCAGAAGGCATGTGGCTTTTCGATTTTGGAGCAGACTTTTCTTTCTTGCTTTGAGTCAATGGTGATGTAAAACTTAGTTCACTGTGGACAGTGACACTGGTGTTCCAGTAGTTTCCAGTTCATGCCTTGGTGATTCCTGAGTTGTTCCTGAACATCCTAATCAAAATTCTCTCATTTTAAGGTGAGAATCTGGCTCTTCTTCTAAACATTGGCAAAGCATCAACACATCTGAATAACTTGTATAATTGTTGTGATTATATTTGAATTTGCATTCCAGAAATGGCTCCAAGAGACCTTCCCAGTTTGTGTAAATCTACAATTCTCCTTAGATCTTCAGTAAGTTCTTGAATTTTCACATTATTTTGAGTATTTGAGTGAGTGCTCTCAAACAAATCTGACCTGTAGTCAATCATGATCACTAATGAGAAGTTAATAAACATGCCTTGTCAATTTAAAAGACACTGCAGAACCTTCAGCACCTCTTATTAAAAGATTTAAGTAAACATTTGTACATATTTGAGTCGCTATAAGGATTGTTCTGATCGCTGAATCATACAAAGCTACTCTAGTATAGTCTGAGAATAAAAATAGGAAGCTAGAAATTTGCATAATAGTTCTCAATTAAGTGTCAGCAACATTTGCAAATAGTACCAAACACAAAAAGTATTGTAGTAAACTGCTTATAACCCTTACCTTTAAAACACTACTAATGCAGAGGAGCAGCCTGACATAAGAAAAAAATATATATTTGAGACAGTGCTGAAACGACAGCTGTTGGGAAATAAGATCTTATAAACTTGAAATATGCTCAAATATTCAAACAAGTAGCCACAATTTTTGTCCTGATTATCTGACTCCATGGATGGAGGAAGATTTTTTTGCTTTTTCAGCAAAATTTTATTTCATTAATCGTTTTATTTAACAACAGACGCTGATTCTACCAAATGCTCAAGGCTCTAATTCACTACATGTCTGCAGATCACTCTCTTAATGAAGCTGCTACATCTGCCCTGCATTGTTCCGTGTGGAGCTGCTCTGTGAATCACTTACTTTGGTCACACAGCAGACCCTGTCTTCCATAGGGACACAGACAAACGGCCTCTAATGGTGACTTCGGGATGCATGTGGCTCCGTGACTGCAGGGGTTGCGCTCACAGGAGGTGAGCTGGCACAGCCGTCCGGTGTATAATGGGGGGCACTCGCAGAACCAGTCCTCAGCATCACTAAATGTACAGACAAGCACGTACAACATATAAGAAGTGGAGTGAAGCTGAAACTACGCACACTGAAATGCATGGTTTCAAAAGAGCTTGCAATCCATGAGATGTCGGCTATACACTTAGTGACAGCGGTGGAGACAAATATAAATTCCAAAGCTTTGGATGTGTGAATCATAGAAGGAGCTGCAGGAAGCCGGCATCACTTGTATTACATGTACGCTAACCAAAAACAAAACAAAACAGAATTTTTGGCATGTCAAAAAACCTAAAACCAGATTTTTCTGTCCAATTTCCACCATTAAATTGTGTATTTTCTCTCTTGGCAAGAAGCAGAGGGTGACCTAGCATGCAAAGTGATATCCAGACAGGGACTTTATAGGATGCTCGAAGATGTGCACAACTCTGAAAGGTATAAAATCAGACAGAGGAAGCATTGGTGGGGTTTCAAATCTATAAATTAATAATGTGTTTTGAGCAGTGCTGCAGAATATATTTTGCTCCTTGAGAAAATGGCTTCTAGAAATGAAATATTTACGTTCTGTCATCAAAGTTGAGAACTGTTTGATAAGACTATATGGAAACACAAAGGAATAATGCTTGAACTGATGGTTATTAGCAGGCTGCTTGATTTCAAGCTAGTTTAAGGTATCGTGATGCACAGCTGTCTAGTGTCACTGACAACTGTGAAAAAAATGGTTTTAAAGCAATACTGAAAGATGGAAAAATGTCATGTAGTGAACAGAACAGGCGGTGTTATTTTTTATAGGCTTTGACAACCTGCAAGAGGAAGAATGAAATATTAAATGCCACTGCACCTCCTGCTGCAGCTGTTTTGATTCAATGCTTTGAATCCTGCTAATTTGTCCCTTGCATCGTCACTTAGTGTCAGTGTTTGAATGTTGGTGGCAGACAAATTGTGTGGGTTTTCCCCCAGAAGCGCCAGATTCCTCCCACAGAAAATCTGAGACTAAATTACACGTAAGTGAGACTATATGTGGACATGTTTGTCGTGATGTTTTTGCAGGGAAAGACACCGATTCAACAATCCAGACCTCTGCACAGGAAAAGTGAGGACAGAAAAAGGATAATTGGACAGTTGAACAATAGGGGTGGAGCCAGGAGCCACACCACAGGTGGCTATGCATATACTCGTAGAACTGTTAACCACTATTTCTTTGAGCTGGACTTTTAAAAATGTTTTTAAAAAAATTAATTATTGAAATATTCATTATTAAATGTACTTCTACATGTCAATCATATCTGCACAAATGATAAATATTGGCCTACAGCTATTTGATGCATATATTAAACATATTTTTCTTTGAAAGAATGTATGATTTACCACATAGCAAATATACTATTAAATATAATAATATTACAATTGCTTCATTTACTGCCAAAATATATTTTAACCTTTTTTCCAAACATGGGTTTTGCAGCTTAGCCAAGAATACATTTAATATTTAACTTTTTATTTTCTCATAAAACAGCGACCGCAAAAAAATTAGCTGCCGTCTGTAGGTAAGCAGCGATTCTCTATCACTGAACGCGGCTTACAATTAACAGAAGGATCAGTTGCGCGTGAAATTCTGCCCGATCTAAGTTTACCTTCATTATCGATCAATTTTGATCCTCAAAAGCAATAAAGGAAAAAAGACTTAACCTACCAAACTCCATGTAAATGGAGGGAAGATACATCATTAAGCTAGAATGGTTAAATGACTTGTGCAAAAACAGGCTGCAGATATTTCTGTCTCCAAAAAAGTAAAGTGTAGATAGAGCAGCAACACTCGAGTTTTAATTGGCCTAATCAAAAACTTGATGTGTGGGGTGACAAAAGGTTATTCTAATTTGCCAGAGGCAATCACCCTGATTACTAAATTGTAGTAATGTTTGCAGATAAATTTGAATATGTTAATCACAAATGCATAACGCCATATCTCCAGCCATTCGAATCCTTACCGCTGCAGCACACACGCTGGATAAATAATTAAAGAAGACATACATTTTTAATCTAATAAGTACCAGATAAAATGATGAATAATTGACCGGTTAGCTTATGATATTCCTGTCAGCTAGAACAATAAGATGTGCAGCCACATGTATTTCTCAGATTTCAGTAAGTTATTTACAGAGGGCTTGTTTTTAAGTGCTTGTTTGTATGCAAATACACTTCTACAGTAAGGCTGAAGTCCTCAGCTCTCTGGATGAAAGCATTTAACCCACTTCATCCTTTGTTAAAATAAAAAGCACCACTGGGTTTAGCAGATATTATTTATAGATTGAAAGACCATTTGCTTTCCAGAATGTAAAGAGCCAGTTGGACAGACTTATACTACACATGCTCTGTTTGTTGGTGGGTGGGAAAATTATCTGAAAGCGTCTGTTCCCTCACTCAATTAATCTGTAACTTGAATTCCATTATACGCCAAGTGATGAAGTGGAATTTACACACGGCTTTCACCTGACATTCTCAGACTTCTGAGCGAGCAGGAGGCTGTTCGATATTTTTCTGACCTCTTCCGGGCAACCTTGCAAACTTTTCCTTGCTGGTGGAGAAGGGTGATGTTCGTTAAGTCTCCATCACAGAGCCTTTTGAAACATACTGCCATAGAAATGCATACAAAGATGAGACTTGAAATAAATCCATATAGAAAGGCAGTATAAAGCATGAAGGAACTTTTCTCAAGGGATCAGACAATATTTGTATGGTCCAACCTAGAACACATTGCACTCTGCAGAAAACTCTGCTTTTCAGTAACACTTTTTGAAGTATGTTCACATTCAAACTTTACACTTTTGAAATATGCCAGCATATCTATTCAAGTCTTATTTTATATTGCAAAACTCTTTAGCCTTAGAATTTTTGTGGAACATTGTCCTCTAATAAAACAGAACGCACTGCCGTGATGTCTCATGAATTAGCTATTCTTGACATCACTGCATTTTCACAAACTCACCAACTCCTTAACCAGCAAGAAATTTCTAATGTTTAATAAAAACGCAGAAGAGGAGTGTGGAGAGTGCACCTCATACGAGAGGAGCTACACAGCACAAAGACTGTGTTTGCATTTAGACCCATGCTGCACTGATAAAGCGGGCGGCCCAGAATGACACAGTTTATGGACAAATCGAATGCAAACCCATATTTCAAATGATAAGTGAATAAAAGTCACATCAACCCCCGGCCCGTTACACTGACAAACAGCCAATCTGATCAGCAGTAACACCGAGGTTTATATTTACCATTCGTGTCAGAGATGCTGTGATTTAAACAAACTGTGTGTAGTAAGAGCTGAGAGTGATAAACTTGCGTATTATCTTTGTCCACGGCACACAGTGGACCGATAACAGACAAAAACTTGAGCGTTTTGTTGCTGCTCTGTGACACTGCAACAGGAAACAAGAACTCACTGAACATACAGCGTTTAGGAGAACACTAAAGAAAGAAAAAGCGAACGTTTTATTCGAAGTATTACTCACAGAAAAATATCTGAAACAAGCAAAAGATGACAATTAATGATAATCTGGAGCACACACGCATGCATAAATGTGCATAAAAGAAATAATAAATAATTAAAAAAAAAAAAAACTATGCTGCTGTACAGATTTCACAGTGTTTTCTGTCTTGAATCTTAACCTCAAACAGACAAAAACTGCATTTAAGTTGATGTTAGAGTAACTGTATGCAGTGTAGTTTTCACACAGCTTTTATTTGCTCCTCATGTCTGATATGAACATTTACTTTGCACTAAAAGGACGTTTGTGTAAAGAGCTGCATGGCACCGGCTGGATATATTTCCCATGGTAAAATGGTAGTTACACAGCAACGTTCAGTACAGTACCTCTGGGATTTCTTTCATTACAAAATATTTCAAACATGTCATCTTTTCATACACTAAATACACACCCAATATATTTGTGTTTCCATAGTGTTTTGTAAGCTGACTTCTAATTATCTTTGGCCAAGGGATTTTGAACATAAAATACACTTAGGGAAACATTATTACATACACCTTGGTAGTAATGGGTTGGAGTTCCCTTTCCTGTGCACCTCAATTTCTTATAGCATTGATTCAATAAGGTGCTGGAAACATTCCTCAGAAGTTTTGGTCCATATAGACGCGACAGCATCACAAAGTTGCTTTAAATTTGTTGGTTGAACATCCTTTATAAAAAATTTCCTGTTCTACCACATCCCAAAAGTGCAGACGCAGCAGAACAGCTTCTGCAGCAGAAGACCACATCCAGTGTGGTGGTCTTAATGGTTATGCGAGTTACTGTTGGCTTCCTATCAGCCTGATATCAGCCATCCCAGTAGATGTGAAATACTCAGACCAGTCTGTCTGCCACTAAAAACCATGACACATTCAAAGTCACCTAAAGTCAAAGTCACTTCGTCATTATGATGCTCGATTTCAACTTCAGCAGGTTGTCTTGACAATATCAACATGCTTAAACATGTCATGTGATTGGCTGATTAGATGCTTGTGTTTATGAGCAGTTAAACAGGTGGACCCAACAAAGTGTTCGATGATGGCATTGATCAAAAGCCTTTTGGAAATTTAGTGTAAATGGCCTAACTTTGTTTAATCTTGCAGGGATTTTAAACAAACAGCGTAAAAATAGGCATATCTATATATGAAAGGTGAAATAACTACATTTCTATCCTGTAACAACCAAAAAGTAACCAACACATTTTGTCATCATTATTATTTTGCAAGGACACGAGCATGTTGGTAAAGCTACCTTCTTTCTAAGAGAGTTTGAGGAAAACACTTTTTTAGGAGATGAAATATGTTGCACTTATCCTGTTGAGTTGTTGGAAAGTTTTCAAGAGATAACATTAACCCAAAGTGAAGCGAGTCCTCATCATGTAAAACTCACATTTGTGTGTCCTGTGCCTATCAGTCACACACTCACACCGTCAGGCTCTTAAAGCGATACAATCGTTTTCTCTCTTTTTGAGCTCATCATCCATGACAGCTGTAATTCTTGGCTGA